TTTTCTTTGTTTTGTTTGTATGTTATCTATACAGGCAGGGTACTGTGCTGTGCTCCTCTATTCACTAGTTGACAGCACTTATACACTCACCACCTGTCTCTTTTCCTGTTGTCAACCTCTCGTATGTCCTTGCCAACCCTGGTAAACAGAGCCTGTTCTTAGGTCCCTGGAATCTGAATGAGAATGCTATCACTTTAAAATTCAAAATGGTTGCCACTTATAAACATTCAAAATGGCTGCACCCTTGTTCACTTTATATATCCAAAATGGCCACCGCTTGTGAACATTCAAAATGGCTGCACCCTCAGTCACTTTACATATCCAAGATGGCTGCCACATGTAAACAATCAAAATGGCTATGCCCTCCGGACAGCAGAAAGTCCACAGCTCAGGTTGTCTCCCTCCTTGCTATTTCCCTTCCTAGTCATAGGCCACCAGAGCAGTTGTCCCTGCAGCTGTTGGTGACCAGGACTGATCTTAATGTCAATTCTAAGGTCCCAACACCACTTGGAAATATTCAGGCTGTTGTTCTCGTCAGAGTAGCTGACAGTCTGCAGCTCCGACCATCTCTGTACTCACCGTTTTTGTTCAGGTTTTTCCACTAGTTGGTGCCTAATCCATTTCTGTATAGTTCCTCTCAAAGCTAAGGGTTCCAGGATTATCTTCTGTATCTCTGTCAACTGGTTTTTCTTTTCTTTGTTGAAGAGGGTCTGTTTTGCTTGTCTGCCTATTCTTCCATCTTACCAGAACTGTTGAAGTCTTAAGGCCTGGTATCTGTGAATGTGACCTTGTTTGGAAACAGGGTCTTTAGATGTTATTGTTAGCATGAGCTTACAGCAGGGTAGGGTGGGTCCTAATGCAATTCGAGTGATGCCCTGTAAAAGAAGAAACAAAGAGACAGAGGGAAGACGGCCATGTGACCAGTGAGTTATATGCTGCTGCTGCAAACTAAGGCACGGCTACCAGAAGCTAGAGAGATTAGAAATGACCTTTCCCTGTAGCCGTCATTAGAACAGGGCTCTGCTGACACCTTGAATACAGACCATGATTGACCTCCAGGACCATGAGACAATACATTACGGTTGTTTAAATTCACACCCACCTTGTAGTATTTTTGTTAACAGCAGTCTTGGGGAAGTAATACAGAATTGAAGAATCTTCTGATCTTTGCACTTCTTACAAATAAATGCTCTTTTCTTTTTGCCAAGTTATTACTGCATTCTGTATGACTTTTAAGAAGGCACTTACCATGAACCTAGATTTGGATACAGGCCTAAAAGGGCAGGAGACAGATTATTATCTGGTCAGCTGAAAAAAGCCCTTTAGTTTACCCAGCAAATAAGGGATAATCTTTTGGGCTTTGACTCTTTTTAAATAAATGATCTTTGGTTAATTATTATCTCCCTAGCTTTTATCCTTTAATCTTTAGGTTTAAATTGTCTAGTAGTAATTTCCCCTAAACTGATACCTGCAATCACAACTGCAAACAAAAGCAGGTCTTTCTGCAGCAATTTAAAATTAAAAAAAAAAAAAAAAAAAAAAAGAAAGAAAGAAAGAAAGAAAGAAAAATTTACAATTTTTTCATGCTAAACTATGATATTTAATTAGGGCAATAGTATCCCCCTCTTAGAAGGATAATTGCATCTTTAAATTTTTCAGATTGGGGAGCTATGTTGCACAGGCACATTCTAGAAGACCAAAGGCAAACATGTTTTGTTCAATCCATTCATTTGTGACTTCAGTAATTACTAGGACTGCATCTTCTGCAACACCAATGTTAAATTATACATTATGACTTTTTCCAACAACATTGTATCAATTTTTAAACAGGCCAGTAAGAACGATGATGTCACAAATTAAACTGGGCTTCAGGGTAGATTCCTTAACTTCACTGAACATAGATAGTAACTCAACTTAAATTTTGAAAAAGCAAATACCTTTAATAAATTTCATGTGAATGATTACATATTTTGATACAAGTATTGTGCATAAGAGTGTACATATATAAATCTGTAGTCTTATATACATTTCAACATATACCACATATATATTTTTTTCTACTCACATTTTTCTCTCTAGTAAAACAAAGCCATTTTGCTGAACATAGATGTGCAATGCTACATTAAGTCCTGAGTAATTTAAGGGATTGTTAATGAACTATTTTTCATATGAACTAGTTTTCCAGTTAAAGTAGATTCTGTAGCAAAAATGTGAACAAAATAAGGTTTAAAAATATGCTTTCAGCTCTGCGCTCATTTTGTGCTTAGCAGAGAAAGCTGGAGAATGCACAGCAGCCATTTCCCTTCAAGAAAAGGTTCTCAAATATTCAGGGTTAAACAAATACCCAATTTGTACAGATTTAAAGTTTTTTGTGATGTTGCCTACATCCAATTTGTCATGCATGGAAGAGTCTAGTCATGACTGGATTCAAAATCCCTTTTGCAGAATATGAGATTCTGTGTAAACATTAGTATTTAGGTATTATACAAAAGTTCTGACTTGAACAAGGGAAAAAAGAAACAAAAAATATAATGAAATAATTTAAAATGCTTTTCTTGGGATACAACCCAACATGGAAGGACTATAAAAAAATGAAAGTGTTTTTTGGTGAAAGGGGAAACCAGATCAAAGTCCTCTAAGGGTTGTCCGGTAAGCCACCTGCTTTGGAGGACCCAGTTTGGCTTGGCTTAGGGAACTGTGGAGATAACCCATATTATTTTGCTTCAAGGGATGGACTCCACTGTGCAAAGAGCAGGAAGCACTATGAGAAAAGGCCATGTTCAACTGCAACAGAACAGTAACAGATGCCTGTTAGGGTCCCCACCTGCAGGTGAAGCATCCCATTCCCTAACTCAGGCACCAGGTATGGAGCACATGACAAGGGACAGGTCAGCTGCTATGGCGGGCCGAGCCCCTGTGTGGGAGGTGGCGTTGCACTGGGCAGGCCTGCCTTGATGAGAAGGCACTGCATTTGTGGTTCCTCCATTGCTCTGTCTATCCTGTCCCATGGCTGCTGTAGTCGAAGACTCCTTTCTTGAAGAATGGTGAGAACTCACAAATTGTATGTTTCGACAGAGTTAGTCCCACTTTGCTGATATGCAGTGGAGATGTTGCAGATTGAAGCATCACATTGAAAAAGTCCCTGAGGTATTTCTGAGGGAGAGATAAGAGTTAAAAACTTGGTCAAGAAATTGTGGGTAGAATCAAGGAGAGGGGAAGGGATGTCCAGAAACAACATCCCATGCACCTTGGAAGAGCAATCACTGTCATTAAGAAATGGCACATGGGGAACCTCCTTGACTGCCTTAGCTATCATCATACCAAGCAGAGAAAATCTAGCCACGGTGTGCAAACACAGAAGGGAGATTCTGCGGCTCTGGGCTCTGATTCACAGCAGCACCCTCAGCCTCAGGGAAATGCCAATGGATGCCTGGCATGGAGAGCCTGTTTTTCAGCAACTGTGTCACCAATTAAGAGTTTATTTTTTAAAAGTCATTTTCCCCAACTTACTCATTAAAAAGATGATTAAAAGAGGAGGAGAGAAAAAAAAAAAAGCTAGCCATCTGTATGATGTTAAACGTGCTGCTTATTAATATTTTTAAATTATACAGTCAGGACTGGCTTTGAATCCTTATAAACTAAAGGAAGAAATACTGGGGATAAGACACTCAGTCTCAGTACTAATATTTACATATTATTTTGCAAATCGTATATTCATCAATGAAAAGAAATTCTTAACTACTAAAATTAATTGCTCTGTGCTCCTAACACCCCTCCCCAGTATGTGTTTGTCACAACATTACACGCCTTATCTGGCACTGAGGAAGCAAAGCTTATCTGAAACTAGGATCCAAGATGATGGAGATGAAATCAGAGACTGGTGTTGGCTGAGATGTGTTAAAGGAAAGAAGACATGGAAAAATAATTTATATATTTCAGGTCAGGCAACTCTTCAGTCTAACAGAAAATAGGGATGAAATGAGTGGGTTAAGCCTAAATCTTAATATATTAATGTCTTAGCTTGTTTAAAGAATATAAACAACCCAGTCACAAACTTAAACAAGTAATTATGGACTTGAAGTAGCAAAAAAAAATTGTCTAAGAACATGGTCTATTCCTAAATCAGTGGTTCCCAACCAGGGGTGATTTGCCAAAGTCTAGAAACACTTTTGATGGTCACAACTTGCATCCAGTGATCAGAAGCCAGAGTTGTTGCTAACATCCCACAAGGCACAGGACGGCCCACCACAACAATGACTCATCCAGCCCAAAAGGTCATCATCACTGCTTAGGTTGAAAAAGCTTAGCCTAGAGGAAGTAGAATTTAGTGACCTCTATGTATTGTCAAAGGAACTGGTAGCACAGTGTCTAGGGTATCTGACTGCTAATCAGAAGGTTGGTGGTTCAAACCCATCAGCCACTCCAAAGAAGCAAGACTGGGCAATCTACTTCCATAAAGATTTACTGCTTTGGAAACGTAATGGGGGTCACTATGAGTTGGAATCCACTACATGGCAGTGGGTTTGGTTTGGTTTATGTACAAAGAAGCCCTGGTGGCACAAGTGGTTAAGTACTTGACTGCTAACTGAAAGGTCAGCAGTTCGAACCACCAGCCTCTCCATGGGAGAAAGACGTGGCACTCTGCTTCCATAACGATTTACAGCCTTGGAAATCCTATGAAGCAGTTCTATTTCGTCCTATAGGGTCGCTATGAGTTGGAATCCACTTGACAGCAATGGATATGTACTGTCAACTTGAAATTTACTTCTGAAAGAAGCCACTGTTCTCAAGGAAAATTTGCTAGTTACTCTCTATTAGTAATTAACATTTGTATAGTAATTTGCATTTCCTAAAAGTCTTTTAACACACCTAACTTTTGACAGCTCTATGGAAGTATACCTAAGGAAAAATAAATTTTTCATTCTTTTTTCTTTTTCCCTGCCTTTTTGATTGCTGTAAATATGTATATATAGAACACAACCTCATTTGTCAACCTCAACTGCTGTTGAGTCAAATCCCCTCCTTGGGATTTGAACCGCCAGCCTTCTGATTAGCAGTCAAATGCCTTAGGCGCCACACCACCAGAGCTCCTATGGACAATTTAGTGGCATCAATTAATTACGTTGTATAACTATATTATGAGTATCTGTTGCCACATTCTCTATCACTATAAGCAGAAACTTATTGCTTCCTAAACAATAATACCCCCTTTCCCTTCCCTCCCACCTCTGGTAACCACTAATACTATAAACTTTGTTCTCTATACATTTGTCTATTTTAGATAGTTCATATTAAGTGAGTTCATATAATATTTGTCTTTTTGTGATTGACTTACTTCACTCAGCATAATGTTTTCAAGGATTGTTTATGCATGTATCAGGACATCATTTCTCTTATGGCTGAGTAATATTCCATTGTACGCATATACCACATTTTTAAATGAATTCATCTGCTGACAGACATTTAGACTGTTTCCATCTTTTAGATATTGTGCACACTACTAAACTGCACATTCTTTAAATGTATAATCTGATGAGTCTTTGACACCAACCCCTAGGCATTCAAAATTATTGGTAAATATCATGCTTTCTGTGGTTTCTGATAAAAAAGTTGCAATTCCTGTCTTGGCTATATATTAACTTTCATGGCCTGTGATGGTTAAGTTTTTGTGTCCACTTGGCTGGGCCTGGTTGAGTGGCTGGGCAGCTGGATGTAGTATTCCCCATGATGAGACTGGTAATCAACTCCA